TACAATATATTCTAACAAAACGAAACAAACAACAAAGAAAAAGAATTATGACGCAAAGAAAAGAATCGGTAGTCTAGAGCGAGCCCTATATTTCACCACGAGTCAACCAGGTTAAAAGATCATTGCAAAAATCATCAGCAGGAAGAAGCTACAAGCGTAAAAGCGAAATGCTGAATAGATTTTTTTCACGTGTTTCGAAAGAGTCTTCAAAAATCCTGTATTCCAAGGCGTGATAACAAGTCAATTTTCTTCAACCTATTTTTGAAAACGTTGCTGTTTTGCGAAGCGAGAATTTCAGCTGGTAACATCTGAAGCCATTTTGCCCCACGGAAAAGTAGGGAGTTATAAGCTTTACAATACTGCTTTTTCATAAGTTTAGGACATTGTAGAGAGAGCTTGTAGGCGCGCCCTCGACAAGGCCTAAAAGTCCAGTAAGTACTTGGCTTCAGCTTTAACTCGCCCTTCAGAAGCTTGAAGCAAAAAACCAAATCATTAAAAATGCGGCGATAGAAAAGCGTTTTGAGTTTGAATCGATGCAGACGCTCTCTATAACCGGGCATACCAATGGGGTAATCTGAATTCGGATAGCATCGATACATCAAAATTCTTGTGAATGTTTGCTGTACCTTCTCTATTTTCACTTGGATAAACAAATTAAATTAAATTAAATTAATTTATAATCGATAAACATACCGTTTCGTGATAAAATGGTGCCATGATGGAGGTTTCGTCTCTCGAATGTGACAAACCGAGAGTATGTCCGCCTTCGTGAATCGCGACCGCTAGAAGATCCGTGTAATCGCCACTAAACAAGGTGAGAATTGCTCATTTGTCTTTAAAACTCGAAAGAAGCATTAGTTTCAAGAAATGGGAGGAATTAGGAGATGCTAAAGGCTGGAGGATGAGAAAAACGAAGAGTATTTTTAGTGAGAATAGATCTATCATTTATATTGTTGTTACAGTTACTCTCGTTTACTTGAGATTATTAGTTAGTTCCCATAGCCGTTTTGGCCACCGAAGAAAAATCCAGTACAAGCTCTTTCGCTCAGTTGACGAAACAACCAACTTTACAGCCTTCAGAATGTTTCGGTGCAAGACAACCACGTTTTGTGGAAGGCTCCGCCCACTCAGGAGGACGCTCCGCCCACTGCAGCTCGTTTCATTCACGACAAAAATGTTGCACGTATTATTAGTTTAGTCAAGTTTTTTACCCACCCTAGAAAGACGTGATGATTGTCTGGCTTCGGGTCGAGCTATATGCACTATAAGCCCCCCTCTCCCCTCCAACCGTTACCCTATTAGGAGCTAGCCTCTGGGTAATGTCGGATTTCGCTGGCAAAGTGACATACATTCATAATTGATGGAGTGCTTGGAACAGGAAGTTCAAACGGAAAGAACCTAGATATGATGATAAGTATCGAATCAAGTAGTTAAGTAAACAAGTAACTAGTCTGTCGATGAGTAAATAACTGAATAATCGATGAATAGACGAATAAATATCTAAATAAACATGTAAATAAAGAAACAAATAACTCAACCAACAAACTAGACAATTACAATACTCTATCAGATAAGGGCCTTCCTAGAAAGAGAGTCTTCACGTAGAAGTTGTACCTACAATGAAGAACAATAAAAACCACCAAAAGACAACTCGGAATGAATGGATGAAAATGTGAAGAGGCAGTTTTAAAAAGGGAATGAAAATTGGTCAGTTAAAGGATAAAAAGGATAAAGTTTTTGGCGTTAATCAATCCGTCTGAGGCATGCGCCCCCGCACTCGACTTCCATTCAGAATCGTGGTGGCGTAGTGAGTGCGTATGTGGCCTATACAATGACTTGCGGTGGCCAGCCAATGTACAAGTCAGTGCTTTTATCCTCCCAGACGAGTCTGGTACCAATTCACCTACCCCGGAGGGGTGGAAGGCTTGGTTAGCCTAGGCGGGAATTGGTCCGGTTATTGATAATAAACTATGTAGTAGAGACTATCCGATGTACAGAATATACCTGGCAATTTTTTTCGCGTCCATGTACGTCCAATTTTCGTCGTCATCGAAATGGAGCGCTCCATTCTCTGGCATAGTAGCGTGGGCCAGTACTCCACCTACGAGAATGAAGACGAATATCACTACGGCCATTATGGGAGATCATTTTTTCGCAATATAAATTATGTATTCAAACTAGATACTCACTTAATCTCAAATATGATAGCTTCGAATATTCGGCAACCAGTTTTGGAAGTTTCACTCAACGGATTGGGTGAATGGCCGGATAATGATTTCGTGCGCGAGTACCGGGTTTCCCCTATTCATGTTCATAACCGGGTCGGTATCAGAAAATATAGACGGGACATTAAGTCCAATTCAGACAGTACTTGTTTTGACTCAAAGAAATCAACTAGTACGTTGTCGTGTCCCGCCCGAGACTGAATGCTCAACTTGCCACCCATAGAGCCAGTATCTACCATTTTCTGAGCACTCTCTTACCTGCTCCATCGAATGGCCACGGATCGTTATGATTGCCAGTTCCAAAACGAACCTGAACTNGATTTCGTGCGCGAGTACCGGGTTTCCCCTATTCATGTCCACAACCGGGTCAGTATCAGAAAATATAGACAGGACGTTAAGTCCAATTCAGTCAGTACTTGTTTTGACTCCAAAAAATCCACTACTACGTTGTCGTGTCCCGTGTCGAGCCAGTTTCTACCATTTTCAGAGCACTCTCTTACCTGCTCCATCGAATGGCCACGGATCGTTATGATTGCCAGTTCCAAAACGAACCTGAACTATTCTGATAGCTTCCTGATGACATTTTGAATGAGTAAACATTAAATAAACAATTCTGGGGAATAGGCGATCACAATTCCTACCTTGATATCTGCTCCACTACCAGCCGGTACCTCCTCAAATTCTAGTGGTGTAACGGCAGCCCAGACATCGTAGCCCTCCCGAATAGCTCTCCTGAAATACGAAAACCTCTTTGCTGGTCTAAATGTTGAACTTATAGGGACCTCATATGTAGGCCGTAGGGTCAACCCTTCGAAACGAACAAATTTGCAAGGACACAAAGTGGTACCCCCTAGGGCGGCAAACTTTGTTCAGCGAAAACTCGTCCAAATACTGATATGAGTGCTAGTATATTGTTATGAAAATTAATATCAGTATGAGTGCTACAATAAGAGCAGTTTGAAGGCTTCTTCTGGGAAGTGTGAGAGGTGTTTTATTCCACTTCCCAGTTTGTCGAATAAGGATCATGGAAAACTGAAACGCTGCATCTTGACTAACTTAACATCTAAGGGAGGAAGCCTGGTACTCTGAGAATCTCTGGACCTCGCTCTCGTCCTCCTTTCCCTCCCACCTAGGCAGTAGACGATAAACACCGATACAAATAATGGCTTGGGGATGCAGCCCAAGGTAGGGGTGTTGTTCAGATAGTATGACAAAACTCCCGAATCTGTGAAACAATTTCTTCGTTCTCGGCTGCACGACAGCGGGAAGTTTTCCCAATAGTTTCTCGTCTCGTACACTCAGCAGAAAGCAGGAAGAAAACCAGTGTTTGCTTCGGAAAACCCTCGTTCGTTCGCAAATGCTCAACATTGTAAATTGTAAAAACTGCCCCAAGGTAAATATATGGAGAAGCGATGGGTGGTGGTACTGGAATAACCTGATGCTAATCGATTCTGCTTTTTATCACATACCTTACATCATCACGTGGCAAATCGGATGAGAAATTCTCGATCGAGTAGGTAAGACGATTTTTTCGCCACTTGAAGGCAGCACCTGAAAGAGACCAAAAATCTGGGGTTCGTCAATTATTATTTTATAACAAATAATAAACCTGTTCTTCAACTCGAGATAAAGTTCACAACAAAAATGATTTTTCACATTTCTCAACTCAAGTATAGCACGTAGGACATGGTGGACATGGTTGGATAGAAAAACAGTCTCGGCAAAGCGTTTTGAGGGTCTCAAAACCGGCGTGGCCGACGTACACACCCAAGAATGGCCAAGTTATGATGGCCACATTGAGGCTGCACGATTGACAACGAGGCGAGAAATATTACGCTTATAAGGACACCCAGACGGTCATAGACACATAATCTTGTACAACTCCTCAGGACTCCGCTATAATTTCTGTCATTTGTTAAATTTCCGTGCGTTGCACCTCACAAGCAAGACGAGAGAAAATTTTTTGGAAGCTCATGTTTAGACAATAAATTCCAAACTAAAAATCGAATGAAGAAAGAGGTGACTAAATGGCAGAGTTTCCTGAAGAGTTGTTGTAGTACTTGAAGTTTGTAACATTATGGTTCTCGTTGAGCAGCAAACATATTACCGTGTCCATCCACCTATCAGTCCCTATTCTCGAGCACCTCCAACACCAAACACCTACCTCCACTAGTCACAGCCAACACGTCCGTCACACCACATCTTGGCTCAGCCATTTTCTTCTTCGTCTCCACATCTAGAACGCCAGTCGGTCTTAGACCAGCGAATTCTTGAAACTTCCTGGAAATAAGTTATGTTTGTTTGTGGTGGGAGAACCTGTCTAGGTACTTG